AAAGTTGAAAGGGGGTAAAAAGGTCTAAAAGATATTTTAAATAAAAAACAAGGGCATCTCTATCCAGGACATGCCATGTGCTACAATACATGACACAAAAAAGAAATTTTCTTTTTTTGTGCTGTGCGCCAGGGCCAATGAAACATGTGATGCGGTGCATAGCACCTAACAACATCTATGACAATATAAATAGTGAAATTAAAATTTAGATGGACATAAATTTCAACACACATATCCAAATCGAGTTATTTAAATGTTCACAAGAAATTTATAAGATATAACTAATAACTTTAGTTGGATATAAAAACTTCTCTATATGAAAATTTTATCTACTAAAACCCATTAAGGGTCAAAAACATACTTCCAAAAAACATTCAACCTTCCAAACCACAATCCAAAGCTAAAAGCCCATGCATAGGACATTTAATCACATACAGTCAACACTCAAGGACTCCTCCCAACACACATTTTATCCAACATCAATATTCATAGTTGGATTACAGTCACCTAATACAATGTATATAGGTAAACACAATAACACTTGCAATCATAGATGCTTTTCTATTTCTAGCATGTAAGTAATCATTTTAACATATAAAAAAGGTCATGAATGTCACCAAAAACCAAATCATGGCAATCCTATACATGTGTCATTAAAAAGGGGAGTCACATGCTCACATTACAAAATAAATACCCTAAAGTTGGCAAATATACATAACCAAAAAATAAAGAGGCTAATTGGACCATTAGTGTCCTGTACAAATCAAAACTGTGCCTTAGGTGCTTCCCGGATGGACCCTTTTCCTATAAAAATTTTAACCATGGGTAATGAGACACAAGGTTCCAATAACCAAATCTAGAATGCCATAATGCATATAATGTAATCAATTATGTGATTGTTAAATAGGCAAATAAAACATATTTCTATACAAAAATATAATCAAGCTAGAAATACAAACATGCATGAGCAATACCTTATCTCCTCCATACACCACATTCAATACTCTAGCTCGCCCGACTAAAGGTAAACTAGTCTAATCCAAGCCACATGTGCCACCCATTAGACTTAATGGGAGCATACCACATGGTAAAAATTGATCCCTACACTAACTAGTCATGCAATTAGTAGCAAATTTTCATACACAAAATTACATAAGCAATTGAACATGTTTTCAAAATACACATTATAAAACAAACATATTTTATATAAGGTTTAATTCCTGCTTGACAATACATTTTCTCAAACACTTATTATTCATTTCCCATATATTGATTTCCAAGATACAATTATTTCATAACAAATAAAAAAAAATACATGTAATCAACTACAAGACATACACCATAACATAATAGAAGTAGTTACCTTTACTCCCTATCAATGAAGTTCCTCAAACAAGAGAGTTATCACCATAAATAGCGTTGATATCACAATTTACACATAACATGACACTAATAAACATTAATATAATGCTAAATATAGCTCAATAAAGTGTCTATACACTAATCACACCCTAATCTTAGGATATGTTAATTAACCTAATTATCCTAAAGCTGTTATAAACTTTTAAACCCTCAAACAAACTCATAATTATCATCATTGCACTTATTAATCACTCATTTAACCTCAATATCTCAATATCATCATTGAAATCACCCAACAATGTCTAAGGTTTTAGATTTAACTTTCTCATAACCTTAAACAACATTAAAACTATCTAAATAATGCTTATACAACCTCAAAACACTCATTCAATTTAAACCCAAGGGCTAGGTCTCTCCAAAAATGAAAAATCCTAACTCACACATTGCATAATCTAGCTAAGAATGGAGAGTCGAAGGTAGAGGGAAGGTTAACAAGATTATCTCTAGCCTTTAATGCACCAAAATCAAGCCTCAAACTCTAAGAATTAATTGCCCTATCAGAGCCTCATAAATTTGTTCGCATGCCCAACTCACCCAACTTCCTCTCTCATGTTCTATTGGATAACAAAATGAGTGATTTAAAATTTTATTTGTGCATCATAGCATACACATCATGCATTGCTGTAAATGGCACAGATGCGGCCCTCCCACTTAAGTCCACAATTGTTGGGCCAAGTATGGTCTAATATCTATTTTCCCTATTTAACCCAAATAGATCCTTCTAATCCCAAATTTAAAATAGAATTAAATGCATAAACAAGTGATTAACATCAAATACCCTCAAACATGATTTATTCTTCAAATCAAACCTTAAAATAATATCAATCTTAATTATAAATTCTCAATAAAATCTCAATTTTTGCAAATAATTCTTAATTTAAAAATTTAGGATGCTACAATACAGTAATACATGTATAATATGGACGGTTTCATTTAATATTAAAAATTTTATAATTTTTACAATTTAATTATTCTGATATACTATGGATAGTATATATATAATTTGAATAGTCCAATTTAATATTAAAATATTTTATAATTTTTAAAAATTAATTATCTAAATGTACTCTATACAGTTAAGATTTTATATTAAAATTTTTCTCATTTTTCTATTCTTTTATTTTGATAAATACAAACTTAAAAATATTTAAAAATCAATTTAAAATGAATAATAAAAATCGTTTCCAAATCAAAATAAAAGGTTAAGATCGGCTTTCAGGCGGTGATCATAAGCGGCGGTGAGCACCGATTGCCAAGCCTTTTTTTTTTGGCCAAAAATGCCATGGCTTTCTTAAGTAATGATGATAATAGGAACTATGATAAAATATTGTATTTCTCGTTTCGCAAGCTGTACATGGAAAAGAAATTGTTTTCCATAGTTTAAAATATTAGCCTTTTCCCCACTTGTTTACTATATTATCAGTGTGTATTATCGCGTTCATTTTGAATATTTGCCTTAAAATTCGGATTAATTTTTATTTTTAAAAAAATCTTGTAATTTTGAAGGACGCATTATACATTGAAAAAATTATGTATGAAACAAAATTATTTATAAATAAATATTATGAAATATAAAAATTATAATCAACTTTTCTAAAATTTGAATGTAACGTGAAATTAGAGTGCAAATGCATCTATTAAAAATAAAATATATTAATAAAATAATTTATTACTATTTCATCAATAATTTATAATTATTATTTTAAATTTTTATAATTATACTTTCATATATCCAATAATTAAATTAATAAAGCTTTATAAATATAATACTAATTGTATATAACTATCTCATTATTAACTTACAACTATTACTTCAACATTTTTTAATTATAATTTTATATATTTAATAATTAAATTGATTATGCCTTATTAACAAAATTTAATGCTAATTGTTCACAATTAATATAAAAGTAATTTATAATTATGACTTTAATTTTTTTAACTATCACTTTACATATCCAATACAATAAATATAAATAATATGGTATTTATATTGTAATTTTAAAATATTCTTGAATTATTTAATTGTGATTTTTAAATTTTGTGAAATTTATTTATAGATAATTTTTTCTTATGTATTTGACTTTTTTATTAAAAAAACAAAAGAAAGAGAAAACTTATTTAATAATTAAATATTATGTAAATATTTTATTGTTTTATGGTCACCATCGATGCGTCACTGGTTACCCAAATAAAGTTAAACGCCAAAGCAAATCAATTTTCCTACCATTTTTTTTATTTTGATTTGGTATCTTATATATGTATTGTAAAATATGATAATTATTTTCTAGTTTTTAGAGGTTTATCTGACATTCTGATTTCCTGCGAAATGACATGTTTGCCCTCCCTCAACCGTTTCCCTAGTCTTTTCCCTCCTCTCTCCTCTCTGTATCCGAACATGGCTGTTACCGTTTCTTTTCACCAGACACACAGCGAACAACAGCTCAATTCCGATCTGGAGAACTTGAGGATACGCCATTGGGAAACGTTCATGGGTTCGGGGGAATCGGAATTTCAATTTCTTTGGGCAATTACACAAGTGGATGGGTCAGAGACGAAGTTCAAAGGCAGAGATAAACATTGAAATCCTGACATTATCCTCTTGCAAATGCTTCTTGCTCTGTGATTCTTTTTGTTCAATGGATTTCCATACGATTGTTTGCAGAAATTGGTTGATTGGATTTCGATTTTTTCTTAAATAACAAAGACCACGAATACCAATATGGAATGATTCTTGCTGTTTAAAGACTCGAGTTAAGTAATGGATTTCTTTGATAGGCCCGAGACCTTGTACAAAGTGAAGATTAATGAATTCCTCTTGTGATTTGGACTAAACTTTGACAAGAGAATGATTATTCAAGCTAAATGATTAAAGAAGATAAATAGTTGAGAGAATTGATTATCATGCTACTTTGTCTGGTGGATGATGCGAACACTTTAAGGAATTATATCAGGTGATATTGAATTAGACAGATCCTTCCTTAAAATGGAAAAATTTCGAATGCGGCTGTGCTGTATGTATATTCATGCCAATATGGAGTGTTCCATGTTTGGGAATTTGAACCAGTGGAAGCAATTGAACTCTGTGGGGCTCCCAGATTCTGCCTGCTTCGCATCATTCGCTGAGATGGCAAAGCACGTGTGGGATATGCACTTTTTGGCATTATCGTTCGATGAAGAAGAGAGCATTTTCAGGTGAAGAAGAACAGTAGATTCTCTGAGGTGTACATGGAATGTGTTGTCGTCGAATCGAAATGTCTCAAAGTCGGAGAGGGAAGAAGTTGGTGGCTCCGGTGGTGCCGGCGAGCTTTGGAGGGTTTCACGGTTATGAAGGCAAGCTTCGGCCCCCTCTGTAAATGGCAAATATGTCATTTATTAAAAAACCAAAATCACAGAAAAGTCTTGAAAACTAGAAAATATTATCAGTGATACGTATTTATAATTTATATATTTATATTTTATTGTCATTTTAAAAAAATTTAATAATTAAATATGTTAATTTTTTATTTTTTATAGGTGGCCACCGATGAAGTCAAAAGAAGCCACCTCTCAAACCTATTTCTCTATGAAAATATATATAAATCTCACCATATCTTGAGCAGATCAAGTTCATTTTCCTATACATCTCATCTTCTTCAAGTTGAAGGTCCTAATAAAGCTTGAACATTAATTATGAGTGGATCTGTAGTGGGTCAATCTGTGCAAGAACTGTTCTTGGGGTCAGAGGAATTACCAGAACAGTATATTTACAAAGATGGTGAAGTCGGTGCTCTTGTTCTTCCATTACAACAGATTCCAATCATTGATATTGCTCTTCTGCTATCTCCTTCACTGCAGCAACACCAGCAAGGGTTGAACAATCTTCGCTCAGCACTCACTACATGGGGTTGCTTCCAGGTTTATTGTTCATGCAATCATGCCTCTTTTCTTTTTTTTTTCTGTCTCTTATTTCTCTCTGGTTTTTCCCTTCAGCATCAGTTACATAACTTGATACTTCACTCAGTTTATCAGGCTTCAATTTTTGAATTATTCTCTTTAGTTTAGTTAGTTCATGTTTGGAATTAGGATTCAGCTTTGTGCTCAGTGGAGTGGATTCCTTCCGAACATAGACCCCTAAAAACAAAATTAGGAGAATCGCATCCAAGTATCCTGTATGACTTTTTTTGCATAAAAAGACCAAAGAAATCAAACATCACTCTCCAGTCTTGTGAACTGTAAATAATATTGTTGGGAAAAAAAACGAAAATATCCTTGGGATGGAAATATGATATATCACTCCAACTTATTACCCCAGTTTCATTGCTTAAACTTATTATTTTCTGACCTCTCGCTTGTTAAAATGTAATGGATGCTTGTTGTTTTTCAAATACTTACTTGTTAAACAGAACAACTCACCCGTCATTTCACTCAAACTTAATAATTTTATTGCTTAAGCTTGTTATTTTCTAACCTCCCATTTGATAAGATGTAATGGGTATTTGTTATTTTTCGAATGTTTGTTTGTTGAACAGAGCACCTCACTTGTCATTTCACTCAAACTTACACTTATTTTTTCAGTTAAAATGTATTGCGTAGTTGCTATTTTTCAAATATTTGCTTGTTAAACAAAGCACCACACTTGTTTCACGCAAACTGGTTGATTCCATAGCTTAGGGGCAATTAGATATTTTCATAATCAGAATTAATTTTTCTTGGGTGCTGTAGAACTACAGAGTGATATCAGATTTCTTTAGCCCTTTGTGCAAATAAAATCTTACATGAGTCCTTGGATGCCATTTTCTCAAAATTAGTTTTAAAAGCCCATCATAATAAAGTAGAGTCAGAAAGGCAGATTGTGAGAGAGAACAAACAAACAAAAAAATAATAAAAAACATATTCTTCAATCAAAGGGCAGTCAGTACAAAATTTCACTTGTAGATTTGTTAAATGTTAGATCAGGCTGAAAAATTATCAACCGGTCTTAGAAAAAGATGGTCTTTCATTTTCAGAGGTAGACTGGATTTGTTAACTACTTGATTAAGAAATTTAGTCCACACAAAATCCTGATATCTCTCCATATCTTTGTGCTATTTAATTTTTGTCACATTTATTTAATTGTTTCTCATAGGTTCTTGCAATTAGAAGATTTATTTATCCCCACGCATGCCTATTATTAACAAATCCGCTAATAGAATAAATCTTGCAGCGATTGTTATATGAATCTGTGAAAATAGCTTTTTTCTTCCTTCACTCACAAGCTTCCATTTTAAGTGAGACCCGTAATGGCTTCTAATTTTAGGGCTTTCTCCATAGGAAGAGAGGCTACACTCAATAGAGTTCGAATAGAGAAATTTATTTATGAAAACATAACTATTGGTTTTTGCAATTTTTTTTTTCATTGCTTTAGGTTCCTGTAATTTATTCCATTTGTAATATTAGCTCTTCTATTTTTGAATATACCCAGAAAGATGATGAGATGACTAATGATATTAAATATGATGACTTGTGACTAATGCTGTTAATCTATATGGAGATGGAATTATGATTTAGCAGATTAACAACATCCATCCTATTTTGTTTCATATTTAAATTTGTTGAATTATAATTCCACCTCAGCACATATTAATAGCATTAGTTACAAGTTAGCATATTTAACATTAAGCAAGATTTAAGTATTTAGCCTTATATACTTAATATACTTTTATCCAATTAGATCAAAACATGTAGATTTAATGTGTTAATAATATTAATAACAAAAATTTATTATAGAATACATAATGGATAAAATGCTTAGCCTTGTATACTTAATACAAGCCCAAAACTTATGTACGTAGCCTTATATAGTTAAGATTTTTATTTTCAATTAAATCAAGAAGTGCATATCTTTTATAGATTATTTAATTTTTAACAAATTATTATTATTAATATTATTAACATATTAAAATCCACATATTTTGATTTGATTAAATAAAAGCATATTAAATGTATAAGTTCAAATGGCACAAGTCTTGCCCATAAGTTTTTCCCTTTAACATTGCTAGCGTCACCTTGTTGTTTTTTGGATATATTCAAAAATGGAAAGACTAACGTTAGAGGCAGAATAAATTAGAGGGACATGACATGAAGCAATGAAAAAAATTGTATGGACCTATATTAAAACACGTCAAAACTATAGGAATTAATAATTATATGTTTCTTGACTTATATATTAGATAGAATTAGATTGAAGAGATACATATGTTGTATAGATTCAATGCCTTAATGTCTTGAGGGAATAACGATGACGTGGATTATTTGTTGGAAGTTCAGGCAATAAACCATGGGATGACAAGTTGGTTTCTGGGAAAAGTGAGGGAAGTGTCAAAGCAGTTCTTTGAACTTCCAAAGGAAGAAAAGCAAAAATATGAGAGACAAGAAGGTGATCATGAAGGATATGGAAGTGACATAATATTCACAGAAGACCAAAGGCTTGATTGGACTGATCGTGTTTACCTTAAAGTGCAACCTGAGCACCAGAGAAAATTTAAAGTTTGGCCCCAACTTCCCCATGATTTCAGGTACTTTCTCAACTATCATACCCCAATAATTTTGTCCGTTTCAAGTTTTATTATTATTTTTTTATTCCATCATCCCTTATCTTAAAAACTTAAGGGCATTATTACTACCTGTCTAGACTAATTCGAATCCTCATTATATAGGACTGTTATTAATAACGATGGCCTCATAGTACCTTTGGAATATCTTTGGCATTTTTATTTAATGGAACTGCATATCTTAAGACTTGAATTTAATACCTCAAGATAAGTTAATTTGACTCCCTCAACTAATCAAACCAAGCACCCCTAAGTTGTTTCAAGTTTGTTTTTACAACTATAATGATCAAACTTAGTATTATGATCCCACATTGGGGAGCTTCATAAGTAAAGTGAGATTTATAAGTATGATATGAGAGACTTTCTCTCTCAATAAACTAGTCTTTTATGATGTGTTTTCCTTTTGACTAATGGTCATCACATTGATGCTTTTATCGAGATTTTGATGTTAGAGAGAGGGCTAGCCATAAACCCTCCTGACTAGCAGGAGGCATGGTAAAGTGTTATAGAGTAGAACAGTTGGGGACTTCAACACTCTAATGGAATGGTATTGTCATGAGTTTTACATCGAAAAATCTTACAAGTAAAATGAAATTTATAAATGTGAGAGACTTTTCTTCCTGATAGACTAGTGTTTTAGAATGAACTCTCACTTGAGAGTATACATCGTATATAGTTTATAAATAATATAACTTATTACAAATGATATCTATTAGTATGAAGCAAAATAGGTGCAACATGCTTATCTTTAGATGTTATCTAAACTATTAAACTTAATTAATGAGCAATTCAATTTTTTTTTGGAGAAAAAATCCATCTCAATGCACAGTTATAAGATTATTTCAATTATAAGTTTTATCTTAAATTTCAAATACATCAATACTTCAGTTAAAAACCATTAATTTTAAATTAATAATTGCTTGGTATATTTTTTTTTGTTCATTACATTGAACAAAAAGAATGATCCCCTAATAAAAATCGAGTTGTTAAAAATTTAGCTCATAACCCATAAGATCATGAGTTCAATCTTACTGCTGATATAAAAATTTTGTTAATGAGCAATTTATAAGTATTTCTATACACACTCTAATGTCTAGAGACATGTTTTAATCCTAGTGAGTTCTCATGATTCAACTCACTCATACTTTTACTGATTTAAAAAAAGGGGATGACCCACAATAAATAATTCATAAAAATGCGCCTCGCTATGAATTTATTATACATACACATATATATATATATTGATAAGCTTATTTATATTTTTTCAACAAATATGAGTCATAAAAATTAAAAGAATAAAATACAATAAAGCCTAAATTAACTGATTAATTATGATATGGGCACATTAGGGATGTGCTGATAGATTATACAGAGAAGGTAAAGCAGCTGAATGAAGTGATTCTGAAGGCCATGGCTAAGTCACTGAACTTGGAAGAGAATAGCTTCTTGAAGCAATGTGGAGAAACAAACATGTTTGCAAGATTCAATTACTATCCTCCATGCAAGAGACCTGAATTCGTGTTGGGGCTAAAGCCTCATGCAGATGGATCCGCCATCACTTTCCTGTTGCAGCATCACGAGGTTGAAGGTCTTCAAATCCTCCGAGACAACAATTGGTTTAAAGTTCCTATCATCCCTGAGGCTCTTCTTGTTAACGTTGGTGATCAAATTGAGGTAACAATTGTTTGACATTAATGTCTTAAATTTTACTTTATTTTTTCATTTTAGTCAATTCTTTCAATTCTTTAGTTAAGGATTTAAGGTGAAAAAATACCTATAAAATTTTTCTTCAAAAGTTTTTAGTATTTTTAAGCTAACAATGGTATATGAATACCTTTTAACTTTAAAAAAAAGGCCAACATTCCCTATTTTGTTAAAGTAACTTGACGTTAACGTTAAGTTCTAAAGATTGAACTTAATGAATTGAGGAAGGTTGGTCTCTTATTTAAAGTTAATGGGTGTACCATTATTGACTTAATGATTTGACCAGATGCTATTGAAAAAATTTATGGGCATTTTTTCACCTTAATTCTAAGTCAAAACTTGTGTGAGCCTTATCAGCCAAAAAAAAAAAACACTACGGCGAGTCATGCACATTACACAAAGTTCTAAGAAATGAGTTGCATTATTCATAATTTATAAATAATTTAACTTGTTAGAATTTTTATAGCAACTCTGGAAACTGTTCATACGGGTGGGAAGACAGGCAGGTGATTGGACGAGAAGGATGGGGAGAGAGAAGTTCAATATGATTTATTATTATTCTAAGATTTGTTTTAATCAATTGAGTTTTCCATAATTTTTATTTCAAAGATGTACAATCATATGAAATCACCATGTATGCATCACTAAATGTTCATATTGTGAAGTTTTTGAAAGCCATGAGTGCAATTAAGCCAAAATTTCTTTTTTTCAAATGTCACCTTAATCATAACAATTATTTAAAAAGGTTATAAAACTATTGGAGCTATAAGTAAAACAGATATTTAACTCAAACTATTTCAAATTTACATATTCATGTGATATTTTAAAACCTGACTGAAGGAATTTGTTATATGTGAACAGATAATGAGCAATGGAATATTCAAGAGCCCCGTACACAGAGCAGTGATAAACTCAGATAAAGAGAGGCTCACATTGGCTATGTTCTGCGCTCCTGATGTAGAAGCAGAGATTGAACCGGTTAAAGAACTAATAGATGAGTCAAGGCCAAAGTTATACAAATCAATAAAAAACTATGTTCAGACCTATTTCCAATACTACCAGAAAAATAGAAGAGCCATTGATGCTGTAAAGATTAAAACTTAGACTGTTGCTTGGCATGTAGAAGGAGGGAAATTATTTTTATTGTGTTTACCAGATGATAGGGTGGTTTCTTTGAAGGAGTTTCCTATATCTGTGGCGAAAAACTTTGAAAGAATGGTAATGAGGGCCTTCAGAGGAGAAAAAATAGCAATGACAGGTGAAAATAACTAAAAGTTTATCTTTACACAATTAGAGGTTCATCGACTCATATATATATATATATATATTAACCTTCAGTTGTTTTGATCTCCCACTGCTTCTTCTTCTTTTTTTTTTTCCCCAGGCCCTCAGTGCCATTCTCCTAATGATAACTTTTTCTCATTCTCATTCCTTTTCTCATTCTTATTTTACACCAATTGACCTCTTAATTAAGTTAGATATGTTTGAAATTATCAATATCCTTTAATATCTCAGCCTGTAATGAGTACAAGTTCCTAAATATATATTGACTTCTTACCAAAAGTTAGATGAAAAATATTTGATTGTGGGTAATCATAGACAGGTTAAATATGTTGATTTCTTAGCACTATCTTCTCCTTATACTGTAGTTAATTCTACTAGATAAAGTTTTCTTGAATATTATTCATAAGTTGAATCATGCATCAAAATGACATAATAATTTTTTTCTATTCCATCTAACACTTTCCCATAAAAAATGGGGCCCCACACATGCACGGTATATCCCACGCATCACTTTCACGTGCAAATTTCCTCTTTTTAACTACGTGGAAGATTGATTCTACAACCCCTTGTATCAAGGTGAAACGATTATGTTACTTGGGCTAGAAGCACTTGGTTAATGACATAGTCATTGAGATCTTTTGTTTGTAAGCAAGTTTTGACAAGTATTTTTGGGACAATGAGATAAACCGAAATATATATATATGTATGTATGTATGTATGTATGTATGTATGTATGTATGTATGTACGTACGTCTATGTATGTTTGTATAGGATCCATCCTTATTATGTTTATTTCTCTCCTCTTGATTGTCAATCCCCATTAAGTGATCCAGATTGATAGAAACGTATTAATATCAAGGAACAAAGGGCTGTAGATTATAGGATTAATCATTATTTTTGCATCTATTTATTCGAAAAATCATTAGGCACCTTAAATTCAATTGAGGTCAATTTTGTCTCTAAACATATGAAATTTGCTAACTCAATACCCTGTCATGAAATTGTCTGATTTTCGTTTGTGGGTCCCACTATTTTATATTTTTTATAATAAAATATTAAATATGAACTTCATATGACATTTTTTTTAAGTTTTTTCCCCTATCCTCTCTCCCCCCCCATATCTGGTTCCCTTCCTTTGATCTCTTCCCTCCCCCACGTTCCTTTAGGAACCAGCAAAAGAAAGGGAAAAAAAATTGGTGGGGAGAGAGGGGAGAGGGAAAAAGAAAATAATATTAAAAAATGTATCATGTGGTGCATATTTAATATTTTATTATAAAAATACAAAAATGGTGGGACTCACAAACAGAAGTTAGACAATTTAATAGTAAAGGTATGAAATTAGCAAATTTCATATGTTCAAGGATAAAATTAACCCTTAATTGAATTTAAGGTGCTTGGGGACCTTTTGGATAAAGTTAAAGGGCAAAAATAACTATAAATCTTAGACTACATTATGTGAACTTGAAACGAGTAGCAATTTGGACCTTCAAAGCTTTTTGCCCTTCTATCTTTGCAATCTCAACCATTTGTTTTGTTGATATATGTATATGTATAAGTATATGTATGTGCATAAAATAACCATTGATTATCCTGTGAACATACTGTCAAAAATCTTTCTAAGTCAATTTTTTAAACCCAAGTCAGAAATGTCAAATGTTACGCTTTTGTCCCTTCTATCAAGCAAGAGAAATAGTATAAAACAACCCCTTGTCAGTTGGCATCTCTGTCAAAAGTATTCTTGAGCTTAAATTGTAATCCCTCTATTTTCAAATATAAAAGAATTCCAACTAATTCATTTAGTTCAAGATAATTAGTTAATTCTAATAGTTATGCCTGAAATTAAAATGTTTAGACCAACACGTCCTTATACTTAATATTTACTTTTTTTTTAATTTAATGATACTATCCATTTATGATTCAAGAACCAAGGGGGAAAAAAAAGCACTCCTACTTCAATTAAAAAAAATTATATTATTCTTTCATAGTTCTGAATACAATGGAAAGAGTGCTATATATATTAACCTCAGGTAGACAAGAAATTAGTGCTAATGGAGACGTTATGAAAAAACTTAATTCTAAATGAAAGGTTACAAGAATTAAAAGTACTTATTAAAAACTACTTATTGGGAGCTTATAAAGATAACAAGCACTTATTATAACTTATGGGTAGGAAAATTATGAAGATAATAGAGGTTATGGAAATAAAGCATCCAATTCTATCTCAATTTATAAGGAACAATTTAAGAAAATATAACAAATACTTTTTGAAATGTGTAGTTTTGCTTATAATTAAAAACAAAGAAATATAGAATAGTTTATCTAATATTTAAAAACGAACGATTATGCTTCATTGGACAAGAAGCAGGTCCCCCAAGAAATTAAAAAAGAAGCAAGGTTTAAACTTTTCAATTCTCTTCCCCGCATATTATTAAGAAAAGACATGTACAGGAAAATTTATCGTTACAAAGCTCAGTACCAACTAGAATAGTCTATTTGTGACATCAAGAATTATATCTAGAACTATGAAACATGCTAAATACAATAACAATACTTGTAAAAAGTTTGGCAAGGGAGGGGATTTTAGTTGGTCACGTCCTGTTTCAGAGGCACTAGTCCCCACATTTTCCGAATCCCCATATCAATCAGGCTTGCACACTATTTCTAGATGTATTTGAACTAAAAAGCACTAAAAACATTCCACAAAAACCCATCAAAACTCTGATTCTGATGGTTTCCAGTGAAAACCTAACAAGCTCTCTATCTTCTTATATTTAGTAATCTTTGTTAATGACTATTAAACTAATTTTGTCAAATGAATTTTTAACAAACTGATTTTGTATCGACAGAAAATCAAAGGGACACACTCTCTTTTCCAAATCCCAAATCATCCACATTCTCTCCTATTTATCCTTGTATTTATCATACCTGAGGATATGTGTTGCCAAAATAAAGGAACCCAAATCCACCAAGAAATAAACGGTGTCTTATGGAAGAAAGGCTATCACTGGAACAGCCTAAAAGCAAAACGATTAAAATATCAAATAGAAACCATTTAATTTAAAAGGGGGGGGGGGTGGTTGGGGAATATGCAATAAGGGATCACTAGTACATCTAGAAGCTACCAATCTCCACTCAAACTTGTTCCCTTCTTACTGTCAGGATTAATTACCCAACTTTCCTCAGTCCTCACAGCCTTCCTGTTACTCATTCACTTTCTTAACCACCGAAGCTCATCAAAAGGTAAACCAAAAAAAAAAAAAAACATGTATGAGCAGCATTTACAATATTCAAAAGCCCAAACAAAGACTGGTCATAAAGTAATTAAAACAGTCAAGCATGCCCAAAAGCAAGAATATTTGGAAAAGAGATTGGAAAATATCGTCGTCGTCATAACCACCACCTAATCATTGTCGACCTCTCTACAAGGAAAATTTTCTGTCCCGTAACAGGCTTAATGAGGTAGGTATCTCAAAGCTAAGAACAACAAACTAAGCATATTTTAATTGGAGACAAAGAGTTTGAAAAGGAAAAAAAAAAAAATCATCTGCATGACAGCTGTTTTAAGAGTAAAAAAGAAAAGACACTGGGATGTTCCTTTTTTTTTTTTTTTTCGTCCTTCCAATGAAGAAGGGAAATTACAGCTTGAAGAGAAGACCACCATGTCTAGCGAAGAATGGGGCAAACACAAGAGACTCAACAGCCATCAGCTTGATAAGAATGTTAAGAGATGGTCCAGATGTATCCTTAAGAGGGTCACCAATGGTATCACCAATAACAGCTGCCTTGTGTGGATCTGACCCTTTGGGACCAAGGTTTCTTGCATGCTCTGTTGCACCAGCCTATCACACCAAATATGTAGGACAAAATCATCATTAGATCATGGTCATGCTTAACAATGCCTAGTTTTGATCATGACCATACTTAACAATGTCTGCTGACTAGACATGTCCAGCAAAATACTCACCTCAATGTACTTCTTGGCATTATCCCACGCACCGCCAGTGTTGGATGCAGAAATAGCAATCTGGAAAGATGGTACAGAAACATGTTCAGAGCAATGATAAAAGGGCAACAGGCGAAGATTGACAAGAAGCTTGTAAGGTGCAATAATCTCATGAAGAACTTATGCAACACAAGTAAAGAAAATAGCAGCATCAATAATGTTATGACATTGCAGAATAGCAGAATCATAAAGACTTAGGATAGCTTGGTTTATTTGAATGAAATGGACGAATATTATAGAGACAATGAGAACAAGTTTGCTAACAGAATCCCATAAAATCAGCGATAACATTAAAATAGATAGAAGATGATAGGGAAAAATCAATGACCCAAAAAAATCTGGAGGCTAAAAATCAGGGATTTATGCAATCAGTGGCTAAAAAGGAGTGTATGTTAACAGCAAATAAGATGAGATTATCATTAAAACCAACAAGCATTTTACCATGGGAATGCAGAATGCAGACACAGAACTATAGGAGATGGAAATATATAAGACACACAATAATCTAAATTCAAATTTTGAAAGAAATTCAAAAGCAGGATATTTCTCCGACCATACTCCCAGAAAGGATACAAAAACATTACCTGTACCCCAGACACAAGGGATCCAGCAAGGACACCAGAAAGTGTTTCTACGCCGAAAAATATCCCAACAATAAGCGGTGTAAGCATAACAAGAGCACCAGGTGGTATCATCTCTCTGATAGAAGCATCAGTGGAGATCTCAACACATGTAGCATAGTCAGGCTTGCCAGTGCCCTCCAGCAATCCAGGGATGGTATTGAATTGCCTGCGTACTTCCTCAACCATCTTCAGAGCTGCACTTCCGACACTCTTCATTGTCATCGCAGAAAACCAGTAAGGAAGCATTGCGCCCACAAGCAAACCAATAAAGACTTTTGGGGTGAGCACATCAACTGTTGAAATATTAGCTCGGCTCACAAAAGCGCCAAAGAGGGCCAGCGAAACTAGAGCAGCAGAACCAATTGCAAACCCCTGCAACATTAAGCAAGAAATCTTAGGCGTCAGACAGATGTTTTCATGAACCCAA